CTGTTGGCGACTCCAAGTGGAAAGGGCAGTGCGGGCCCCTCAGGGTGGTCGCCAGACCCCGTCGCTTGCTTCAGTGGGTTCATCAATTGTCTTCTGTGGTGACGGGAAACCTTGATCCCTTTTTGTCACGTGGTAACTTTTCAGTTTTCACATATTTACATCACCGCTCTCAGTTTTATTGTCTTCATCTGCAAAATGGGCCCAGTAATGGCTGCTACGTCGAGGGTTCTTAGGACAGGGGCTGTCACACAAACACTCGGTGACACTCGTCCTCATAGTTGGTAATTCCAAGGATAAAGGGAACGCGAGGATCACACCACATTCTCACTTTCAACGTGGATGACGGTGCACTTTTAAAAGTACTTATCAGCCCCACTTTCCTGAGTTAAGTTCTATGTTCTTTAAGTCCGAAGGGGCAAGTATTAACCCACTCATTTGTCAGTCTCCCACTCCCCAGCGGGCGTTCTCGCCTGTCTACACAGCCGTTTGTGCGCAGTTCCTCCTCTACGCCACGGTTCACGGCTGACTCACGCATCATTAGTGACTGAGGACGGGAACACTGATCTAGACGTCCTCATGCAGAGACAGTCACGCGGAAACGTCACCCTTCTGAAAGCAAGAGCCATACAGAAATAGATCTTTAAAAAAAGTAAATTCAAAGTTGATTCTTTACCTTACAAAAGGAGGTGACAGAACTTCTTCAGAAGCCACGTCCCCTCACATATTTAAAATACAGTAGCTTTTATAATAGTTCTATGAAGTCGCTTTAATGACATTGCTTGTTTTTCAGAGTTCTGAACTTAGCTCCGAGCAGACGCTGACAGCTTGTCTTGCAAACGCTTCTTCAGGAATGTCCAAGGTGTCGTGATGAGAGCGTTTCCTCCTCTTCCTCCCAGCTAGTCCATGAGCAGGTGCTCGTGAGCACGGACACCTGCTGACTCGCCTCTTCCAGGACAGTATGGGTGGCGTGCGGTCCCAGCCTCCTGGCACCCCCTTCTGGCTTGCACCTTCCTCTGTGCTGGGGTTGCTTGTCTTCCAGGGACAGGTGACATTCTGGGGCAGTTTTTCCCTGTGAGTTAGGCCCTTTTTTCTTTAGTTCCATCAAAAGAAAATAGGAATTCTTAAAAGGCACTTCCTAAGAAAATGAAGGCGAAACAAAACAAAAACCAAAATCAAAGTCCAAAAACAGAGAGTGGGCAGAGCTCATAGAGTGTGGCACACATCGCGGAGGCAAAGGCTCTGTCCAGCTCTGCTCTTTGCCACGATCCTTTTTCTTTCCGGCTTGATGATCACAGCTGCAGGCACATGCCGCCAGCGAGGCCTCAGCATGGGCAGCTCTGGCTGTTCACCTGTCTCCACCCCACGGAACCCTAGTGGGAGCTGCCGTCATCACGCTAGGGACACAGAGCCAGTGAACAGCAAGGCTCCTCAGCTTTGACACCAAGCGTGTGGGACCCGGAATCTGTGTCCCACCTCTAACCCGGCCACTCGGTGCACCCTGCCCGGGAGATATGCCCACCTGCCCTCCCATGTGATTCTTGCACCAGCCGTCCCTCTGAGGTCCCTGAGATGGGTGCATCCCTGCCCATTTCTCTTGCTCCACCTGCTGGGACACCAAAACCAGTGGTAATTAAGTCCCTCTCTGCAGTCATGTGACTCTTGGCCTCTTCCCCGTGATGACCGCCTGTAACAGGTGTCCGGTCTCATCAGTGGCTGCACAGCCCCCGCGAGTCTCATCACCGCAGCTTCCCGTCCCCAGAGGAGACCTCCTTTCTCTTCCCTGAGTCTCCTTCATGAGGGATGAAGCGTCAGCTCATCCCTCTAGAGGGGTATTTCTTTCCAGATTCTACCACCACGAGTGTCTAACATGAAATCACAGCCCTTTGCACATAAAGTAACAATATGAACACAGTGGGCAGAGGGCCCGTGAGAGGCCGGGGCTCTCAGAGCCTGAGGGCTCCCTGCAGGGGCCACAGCCCCGGCCAGCCCTGCCCAATGGTGCCCCAGTGTCACGGGGAAATCCTCAGCATTTAACTTCCTGTGCCATTTACGCCTTCCAAATTGCTTTGTGTTCTGTGCTACAGAAAACGTTCCAGTCTGCACACTGGCAGCAGGGCTTGTGATGAGTGCTTCCCAGGGGACTTGGCCAGTTTCCTTCCGACTTCGTGGGGTATTCCTGCTTCTACCCTGGTGTTCAAGTACAGCCAGCTTTTGCTATTTATTTCATCTTTATCGTAAAATGTCACACTTTGCCCTACGCTCCCTGGGAGCAGCTGAATATCAGGTTCCTTGGATTCACCTGGACTTTGCATAATCTATCTGATGGTCCATGAATCCTCACTATGTAGTTCAGTAAGATCACCATGTTACCTGTCTGATAAACACGAGCATTTCCTTATGAAGGGGTCAGAGTGACTGATCACCACAGAATTATCTTCCTTGTAGCTTTAATGAGTTGGGAAGTCAGTTATTCGGGCATGTTCCAGAGCACTGACACAGGCAGGTTGTCTTCAGCCTGTGCTGGGGTGGGAGAGAGCTATCCATGAGCCAGTTACCAATGAGCAAGACTCTGCTCTAATCAAAGTGTGTTCCTGTGGCCTTACTTGTGAGAATTGGCCTGTGGCTTCAAGCCTAAAAGATGAGCCACTTTATGTGCATTTAGCAGGTGAGAGCTTTAGTAAAAATGCTAACTGGGGCTCATGTACACCAGGTCTCCAGGCCCCTCAGCCCCTATACCAGGGAAATGCCTAGGATGAGACACATGGTGCTGCGAGGGCACTTGAACCCATCAGTAAAGTTAGGTCAAAGGAAGGAAAATCAGAAGCACCGAGAGAAGAGAAAACCCTCCGAGGTCCCGGTGCGATCCACGGCTACTTGTCCGCAGGGACTCTGTGCAGTCCCCGCCTCTCTCCACATCTACACACCACTAGTTGCCAGTAGCAACTGCCTGCTTTCTCGGAGTCAGGGAAGTATACATGGTAACGTTCAATTTTAAACAAAGCACTGATGAATGAGGAAGATCCAGTCTCCCTTGATTTAGGGGAGTTGGCCGATGTCATGTCTTAGGTTTGAATGTATTTCCAGATCTGGCGCTCCAGTTGGGTAAGGTGGTGAATGTGCATTTAGAAACGTGCCGTGTTAGAGTCTTGCGGCATTAAATGGCCTCTTCAGTGGGATACGTCACACGAGGGTTCTCACCGTCCTGGCCAGCTGCTGACGGGGTTCGTTCTTGGGGTTCAGGCATTTCTACTGAAATTTAACCATTGTGCTTGCTTTCAGATTTGCCGCTGCACATGTGAATGCCACAACACAACCTTCTGTGACAAACACAGTATTTTCCTGTTCCATCTGGACTCGAGATACCGTCAAATTGTAACTGAGTGTCTTGAGATTTGAGACTGTCAGGACACAGTGCAAGCTCTCCAGATGAGTGTCCCCTCAGCTAACTTGTCACATAAGCGTATCTGGCTGATGTGCTTGGCCCCAATGCTGAATCTCATCATGAATCTCAACTTTTGGTCTAGGATCCTTTTCTACAAGGGACAAGTGTCAAAATATTCTCTGAAGAGTCTGATCTAAAGTAACACAACTGCTATTCACCAAGAGAAGAAGTTCTATCAAAGTCAGCAACCGAGGGCATACAGTAGGAGCTCAATACGTGTCTGCCACGTGAACAATGAGCTGTCTGCTCCTGACTGTTGAAGACACTGGGATTCACTCCTGTCCCCGTCCAGTCAGCAGGAAGAGCGTCCTTGGCCGGCAGCATGACGTCGCAAGTCGGATGGAGAGGACGCAGGCAGAGGCACGCCGTGTCCTTTCAGCTCATGACCAGGAACCTCTGGCCTCCCAATTCTTCTTTCGTCTTGTTTTAAGTTATCTGGGAAGCAGGCAGCTGCATTCCTCAGTCTCCCAGGTCCAAGCGGGTGTAGACTTGAACGGCCACGGAGCATGACAGGTCACAGGGTCGCCCCAGCACCTTGGGTGCAGTTCAGCCGGTGAGGCCTCGGCCTTGTCAGCAGCCTCCTGGCTTGGTCTCCAGGCTCTGCCACGAGGCTTTTTACGGAAAACATGGTTTTCCAGCATTTTGTGGTCTAATTCCACCAGTCTGTGTTGTTATTAGATAAGCAGGTAAGAAAACCTTCCCCCCAAATAAATGTTTAACGACAGCAAGAAGCAGGGCCCATCCTGACACTTGGGAAATTGTTTCCCTGATCTGTAAGTGCAGCAGCGCTCCCGACAGGCACAGAACAGGGCTGTGCCCTCCGCCAGCGGGGCACTGTGTCTCCGGTGTGAGCCTCATATTTTGGCTTTCACAACTACTAACGGGAAGATGCCTGTGGCTTCAAGATCCAGGGACAGCCAGCAGCAAGTGCTGAGTCATGAACCTGCCTCCTGATAAAACCCGGCCTTGCGGGGACACTCCACATGTGCTCGCTGTGACCAGGACCTCATCCCTGTGCCTGCTTCCTCCAGAAGGGCTCCTGTGCAGCGCCGAGTGCCACCTGCACTTCTTCCCAGCCTCGCCGTCAATGACAGGCTGCCCGTCAGTGACATCCATTTACCCAAACGACGCTTGGTGAGCTGGGAACGAATGGGAAGGAGACAGCTGCTGCCCATTAGTCAGAGGCTAAAAAAGCGGCACACACAGTAGGCGCTGACAGATGTGCATCCCCACCGTGAAGCGCTATGCACGATCTCACACGTGGGCCAGTGCGTGGGGGCTGTGCGTCCCACACACGAGAATGGGAGGACCTCAGCAGTATTCCTGCTCACTTCACTAAGAGGATGTGCGGCTGAAAAAGCCTGCTCGGCAGCTGCGAAGCAGGGAGGCCTGGCCACCATCCCACTGCCGCTGGGTGTCAGGAGCCAGGTGCACCTGTAGGCACTACAGGAATCAAGCAGGGGCGTGTGCTCGTGTTTGTGGGGGAGGGAAGCACCCTAAGCCACTTCCTTCTGCTCCCCTGGCTGGCCCTCCCTGCCCCAGCAGACATGGGCCTTACCAGGATCATGTGGCCGGTGGAGATATCCATGTTGGATTGGACGGGCTCCTCAGACCAGGACGAGGTGCTGCTCCGTGCAGAAGGGCTGGGCATTGGGCCATCGCTGATTTGGGATGAGACGCTGTTGATGCGGGACGCATGTGGGCCCTCGGGGCGGTCCGGTGGTCGTGTGGCCATGCGCTGACGGCACAGCTCCTGGAAGACAGGGAAGTTGTCAGGGGTTTGGAGGCACGAGGGGGGAAGCCCGGCAGACCAGGAGGTGCCCACAGAGCACCCACCCTTTGTCATCTACCTCCTCATCCCAAGAGGCATAGTCCAGACAGATGAGAAGTCACCCTCAGGCCAACCTGCAGGCCCTCAGAGGGCGCTGATGCCAGGCCGGGATGACAGCCTGGCTTGACACACCCCATCAGCATGTGCTTGGGTTTGTCACAGTCGTGTGGGAAGAGGAAACCAGTCTTACTCTCTGAGAGCCTGAGAATAGGACACACACACACACCCTGTGGATTCAAGAAGGGGCACTGTGTCCCACTCTGTGATCAAAATGGAACGTCCTAGAAGAACACGACAGGTGGACCAAGTTAGGCATGTCCCTCTTTCATTAGAACTTGAGCCCTGTGGGAGGCAGGGGAGACTTCACATCACGCACTGAAATAAGAAATTGGTATCACGATCAGAGTTCTTGAGAGGAAAAAAAAGAATTTTATTTTGGTGTTTCTTTCTCTTCCCAAAACAACTTCCAAATTAACAAATGCCCATGCAGGAGAGAATAAATAGAACTACACAGAAAAAGGGACATACAGGGCGATGGAAAAAGGTAGACTGTCTTTCTGAGTAGACTACCGAAGACAAAAGTTTCTGAATTTAAGGAAATATCTCAAGATAACATCCCAATAAAGCTTCCGTGGGATCTTCGCAGGGTCTTCGACCTTCCAGTCACAGCATGAGAAGGGCATACCAGCACGTGGCATGCGTGGTGGCCCCCAGCCGTGGCCCACCACTGCCACGTGGCTTGCGCTGCTTAGAGTCTGGGGACGGGGCGGAGATACTCGTCAGCTGCTCACGTCACCTTCGACATTTAGCCTGGAAGCTCCCCACCACTTCTGACTGACAGACGTGGTTTTGGTAGCATGCCCACGGCGAGGAGGCCACGGTGGATTCCACCCTTTGGCCCAGTGGAAATATGACGGTAACCTGAGTCATCAAAATGAGTGTAAGGAAAAGTGTGAAAGAGAATCTGAGCCCAGCAGAGGAGTGAACGATGCGCTTACGGGAAGGGAGGCCGTAGGAGAGCAGCAGGTTCGAGGTTCCGCCTTCCCCTTCATGTTGGTGGCGTCCAGGGGCTGGGCCACCCACTTGCCCTGACCAGCAGCGCGTGTCAAAGGCCCCGCAGCCCCCCGAGCAGTGCTGCTGATGGCAGGACGCTTCCACGCCTCGTTCTTCTCCCCACCCGGCTGCGAAGGCCCCTGCAGAGCTTCGCATGGCTGCGGACGCCTGGCAGAGGACCCTTCCCCCCGCTTGGCGCTCGCTCTGGGGACCACACCAGCGTGTCCCGGGCTCCGTTCTCCAGGGCTTCCTCACAAGCCTGGCTGGACATGGGAGCTCTGCGTGGGCCCCTTTCAGGGCTGGCGTCCTGACAAATCCTCAGCTCCTGGTAGAGCAACCGGTGACAGGGAGGGTTACCGTGGGCATGCGGGAGGCGACAGAGGGGGATCGGTGAACTGCAGAAAAAGGCCCATTGCGGGGACGCGAGGTCTCAGAGAAGGGAACGAAGGCAGGGGCAGCCCGCGCCTGCACCCCCACGGCCTCCTCCCACAGACCTGCAAGCGCTCGCCAGCCTGCGGTTTCCAAGCAGTGACTTTGCTTAAGAAACTCACCCATTTTCTCAGAATCTCAAAGGCAAAGCAAAACAAAGACCACAAAAAGCAACTCACACACAGGGATCGTTTAAATCAGGCGGACGACACCAGGAACCAACCCAAGTACACATCTCATCTATTTCCCATTTATGCACACGGAGTGCGACTTGATTTGGGGGAAAGGCACACCAGGAAATATTTCTGCAGTAACTTCTATGGGCTTAATACAATTTGTCCAGAAAAATAATAAATGCAGCCAAAGCACAAAAACACCTGCAGCTTAGGCCATGAGAACTTAGAGTATGTCCTCCAAGAATGAGATACTCTGGGGAAGATTTGAAATGCTGGAGATTTATTCAATAAAAAATAATCAGACTAGCTATGTTCTACCCGTGAGTATTGCACTGATGGAGGAATCGCAGTGAAACCTGACTTTCTGTGTCCCTCAGTCCCACGGTGAGGAGAGGCCCCAGGGGAGGCTCATAGTCCTGGGGTCCTCGCTTGAGCACAGACTTCGTATGCAGACTTGGGCACATCACAAAAGGGTTCTAAGCCAATTTTTTCTTTTTAAAAGTGTAGGTAATAATATCCTTACTGTGAAGACTAGAAGAGTTCATGTGTATAAAATGCTTAGCACGGTGCCTGCTGCAGAGAAGCCCTCAAACATTGATCAGTAAAACAGCAGAAGTATTAGTGCAATAAAAATTAAAACTGTTCTCTAAACCAGAACGACACTCTTAGGGCTTGGCAGACGCAAAGATATTTCTGGAGAAATTACAGATTTTAGAGTTGGAGCGGCCAACCAGCCATCTACGCAAACAAATTTCCTAGTTTGGGGAGTGATTTGCAGGTTTCGAGCCTCGGTGAAGACCACACGGGTTGGTGGTGGCCCTGGGGAGGGGCAGGCCAACTCGTTACTACTTAGTGATGATTCTCCTTGTCGGTCTATATTTTGACAACAACAACAAATCTGTCCCCACTCTATACCCACCAGAGAGGAAGCCCTGAAAGCTTGGCCCGAGAGGCCGGGGCACTGGGTGGTCTCTCTGTACCTGCGTAGAGGAGGAAGTGCTGCAGGAGGGCGCTACAGAAAGTTCATGCGGAGATTCCTGTTATCTTTTAATTCCATTTTCTACCAACTGTTCGAAGTGCCCTTGTGTGTTTTCACAGTGAGAAGACTCACGGCCCAGGGGTGACCCCACTCTGAACTAAGGTTCCTCTCGTTGCACGTTTTACCTGCAGATACAAGCAGGTGCATCTGGCTCAGGTGGGCGTCAGCTCTGAACCGACTGCTGTCAAGTTTCTACACAGTCCTTTAAGGACTCAGCTCGTATGTGAGAGGTGGGGAAGCCAGACTTCGCAGGAGGGGTAGGTTGGAGAGGAGGCTGAGCCCACTGGACGGGATTGCTGGGACTGACGCCCCCTCACACTGCTTCTGCGAGGCCTGCCTGGCCCCTGCGCCGCCGTCCGACTCCAGCTGTTGCAGCACCTGCGAAGGCACACGCTGCTGCTTGCCCGGAATTGCACGATCAGGCTTCTGTGAAGCTGGCAGGGACCAGCCACCAAGGAGAGTCTCTGCTCCTCCACGAAACTGCCCCTGAAGACCGGACAACCAGGTTATCCCTGATGCACCATGACAGATTCCTTCTAGAAACCTGGACTCAGGAGACATTTGTTTCTGCAGAGGAACTTACATGAGAACTGAAAAACAGGTTTAACTTTGATTCTTCCCCTTGATTTCCAGGACATTCGTTCACTCACTCGTAGCACCTGGAGTCAGAATGCCTGATTTCAAATCCTGGCTTCAGCACTTACTGGCTGTGGACCTCGGGCAAACCGCCTAACCTCTCTGTGCCTCAGTTTCCTCATCTGTGGAATGGGGATAATTGTACCAACTTCACAGTTACTATGAGAATTAAGACAGGATGCTCAGAACGGGCCTGGCTGTGACCACTATTGTCAGTATTCATTTATTCACGTCTGGTTATCAAGCACACACTAGGTGTCAGATGCTGTGTTAGATGCCAGGAATGCCGGGTGGAGTAGGACTCACAGGGCCCTGGCTTCCCAGCGCTCACGGTCCACCCGGAGCTGGCCCTGGATGATGACGTGACGTGACGGGGACCATGTGTGCTGGGTTTTCGCGGGGAGGGTTGCCATGCAGCCAGCAGGAGGGGAACCTTCTGAACTAGCGGTCAGGAAGGGCCATGCAGAGATGACAGTGGGGCTCAGGTCACAAGGCTGGGTGGCCAGCTGGGGGATTTCTCCGCAGAAGGAACGGCACATGCAAGGACAGCGGGGGGGAGAGGAGGTGCAGGGCGTCCAGGTGCTGAGGAGCTCCGGGTGACGGAGGCACAGGTGCGAGCGGGGGAGGAGAGCTCCCAGCATCTGTGCTTTCACGAGGCCATGTCCCACTCCAGCCTGGCTGTGGCCAAGTCAGCGCGGTCCCCTGGCGGATGCTTTCCTGGGACCAGCTACAGAGTCAGTTGCTTCAGACTGCATCTCAGGACATCCACACGGCGCTGTTTTGCCACATTCTGCTTGGCCGGAAAGCCGCCTTCTGAGTTCCATCCTCGCACTGTCCCCAGGAGTAGGAAGAGGTGGCAGGGTCTGCTCTGCCCCCGCCCCTCCTGGCGAGTCACTTGCCCTCTCTTTCGTCTTCCTGACCATGGACACAGGTACGGGCAGCATGCTGGTCCCCGAGGAGGCTGCCGCACACATCACACCAGTGGAAATCGTGAGGACGTAACAATGACAAAGTCTCGAACTGGACTCTGAATAATAGACTGGCTGAGGACTGCCCTGTGCCCGCTCCTCGGACTCTAAGGCAGCAAGCCTGACTTCTGATGTTTCCCTTGATGGTAAATACCAGAAAGCCACATCTATCTACCTATTGTGACACAAACAGAGGCTACTCAAAGTTTAGCTTGAAATGCCCCAGTCTGGTGCACTTGTTGGGAGTGGAGACAGGCCCGTCCCCTTCCCAGGAACGGGGCTCAGGGAATTCAACCTCCGCACCTGGCACTGTGGCGTGTTCTGCGCGTACTACATGGAGTCCCTTCGTCAATGCTTGCGGCCCCCTTGCTGGGCCGCCCCGCCATGGGCTGGGGCTGCATCTCACCCTCCACGGTTCCTGGACGCTCTCAGGAACCTCCAGATGCTGGCGGGCCGAGGGACAGGCAGAGGGTCCACCTGATGCTGCCTCTTGGCTCATTGAGAAATCTCTGAGGGTCGTCACCATGTGGTCTTGTTAATTTGTCCTTTAGGTTGATTGTAGTTTGTAAATTAATAGACATTCTGCATTCCACCCATTCTCTGTACAATACCTTAAACGTT